GCACTAAGAAATAACTGTGTGTGTTAGGTCTTCTTAGACATTCCCCTTAGTTTTACTTTGTCAGTTTTTACTTAGTTGTGCTTTCCGTATTATAAGCATTCCTACATATGTAACATGTACTATCTCTGTATCTTTACTATGTGCTGTAAAACTCTGTCACCGAGCGAAAGCTCATTAGCAGAAAAATAATAATAATAGCTACAGTGCTAGGCCGTATTCAGCCTCTGACTGAAGGATTGATTGATTGATTAGTGGTTCGGGGCGAGTCAACAAATAAGATGATTATTCCCGTAAGTGTAGTACATTATCTTTCTTCGAGAGGTGACGGTAATATTTCCCTTGCTTTATTGTGAAATCCGTCGGCTAAAGGGATTTTTCTCAGTCTGGCATCTCCTACTAGCGAGGCACCGCGTAAGACGGAAAAAGCTCCCCACGGGTGTCAAGCCGGAGGGTTTTCACCTGTGACCAAAGGGGTTTAAATCCCGGTTTCGTTGCAAATTTTCTTTCGTATCTCGTGCCTCGCATTCTATCCATATTGTCACATAATCTGTGAGATCAATAACTGATCCAAGTACAGTACCAGTGTAGGTGGTTTAAGGCATCAGGTGATGTCACTGCAGTACTTCTGATCGGGTGATCATAGGGTTCCAGTCCCGTATTATGAAAGACAGAAATGTTTGTTTGTCTATTTACGGCATTATTTACTGGAGTTATAGTGACTATAAAGACGACGTTGATAATGATGATGATAATGTGGGTGATTAGTGCCACACTGTCTCCAATCGGAGGTGTTGGAGGAAGTTTAAGTCGTTTTTCCCTTATTTTTCTTAAATAGATGATCATGAATGTGGAGTATCATTGCCTTCTACAGAATGAATAAGGTTTACCACGAGGAATGAACAATAATGAAATATGAATGATTGTGGCTGAGATGATAGTATATATGAATGATGTTAGAAGAAAACGCCTGATGAAAACACCCAGTGCGGGACTCGAAATTTGAGAATCTTGTTTCGCGTTTTGCACGTTGTTGCAAGTTCCTATCCCATCAAGGCAAGTTTATTATAACCATAGTATGGCAAAATCAGTGCGAAAGAAATTGAAAATTTCTTGAAAGAATTAAAAATTTCAATTAACTGGAGGGCTATTGCCGAAGAAAAACAATAAGACTTTACAACTGTAATGTTTTGCAAGTGCTGAAAATTGGCATGCGTACAACTATACTCCTATCTCTAGTCCAATGTTAAATTGTTAAATGGCGTTAGAGTTCAACCAAATATAATATCTACTGTTAGTTTCATAATTTTCACAATTTCTCTCTTACACGAACATCATGTCATTGAACAGTGATCCATCGTCTTTTTACTTACATAATTTATCATAAACTAACAGTATTATCATCGCTGCAAAAATCGCAGAGAAAACTCGTGAGACCAACAAAGGTCATTAGATATGTTTCTCTAAGGAGAAATAAAATTGTTGTCAGGTTGGCATCGCTAGACGATATTGTGAGAGGTGCTTAACAAAATGTTTTTTCTGCAATAACAACTATAATGACAGGTATCAACATGAAACTACAGTTTTTCGGAATATGGGTTATGTATGTAATAATTCTCTTTGTGCTGATTTTGCTGCGTTCTTGAATAATCTATTTGAATCTGGCATTCACTTTTAACTTTGCGGCTAGTAGGAGATCACGTTTAAACTACTTGAGGAATATGATCTGTATGTTCTGCAACGCCTACATTCCGCATACTCTGCAAGAACTAACTTTCCCACGACCACTAGAAGAAAGTTAGGTCTAAATATAATATGAAAGCTTTCGTCTTGAGGTGTTTAGTTTAGACATTCGATGTGCACCTTATCTGAGTAAGGTGAGATATTACCCTTCTTCGTCATTCGGGAATTTCAACACGTATCGAGATAACACAGTTATCTAGGTATTTGTTATGAACCGTCTCTAGTTACAACTCGACACTCAATCCATCATATACTGTCGTAGTTTTTTTCCTTCTTACCTGAATGTAATCCTATATATGTGAAGATTATTTACCTAGGATCTTACCTAAAGATATCTATTAACATACCAATAATATATTAGATCCATAGTAAGAGAAATACTGAGAGTCTAAGGAGAGTCTATGTGAGGGACAATTTATCGGAATATTATCGCTATAATAGAGTACTTTTAAAACTTATAAGTTTCAACTTTGCGCACACCTGGGGAAAGATTGAAACGTCTCCATCAAGAGCTCATAGACATTCAGGTGTGTGCAGCTTAAACCAGGAATTAGGCAAACTACATTTCTGATCCTTCTTTATCATTAAACTTGTTATTTGCATATGATTTCACTAGTAAATTAATAAAACATAATACGAAGAGAATGGTATTATAACTTTATTGATGCAATACAATTGCTTTTATGTCGAACCATATACAGGTTGGCCAGAAACGTTGGAAAACCTCTTTCCCAAATTTTCAGGTAAAGTAGGTATCCCAGGAAATATTAAGTTGTAAGGTTATTAAATATTTTATGAGGCTATGGGAACCTTTTCAAAATTTTCATGGGACCAACGCCCCCCGCCCCCTGTGTGTTTGTGCACGCATATGCGTAGAAGCGTGCCCGATCTCCTTGGCGCCCTCGAAGAATTCAGAGTTCCCTGCTGGCGAACAACGCGGCGATCGTATGAAAACACACTGGGGTGCAAATATCAAACGAGTGAACCGGCTTAGGTTTCTCGGAACATCAATTTTTGTCACTGCAGCTTCTCTGGACGGGAGGTCCTAGGTTCGAGTTCCAACGTTGGTAGAATTTTCGACTCTAGCTAGATAGCTAGGGCGAATTCAACCTCTGTCTGGAGGAGAATTGCAGTGGTCAGCTGCTCAGATCGGTGATTATCCGTGGTTTCTCCGACCAATGCCAGAGCAGTACCCTATCAAACAGGCCGCTCGCAATCTCCCTCCTTCCTCCTTGTCCTATACTCAGCCCTTACTTACCACCTTACTTCGTCACACTTACCACCACACATGTCAAGAGACCAGTTAGGATCTTAGAGCTTGTCCCAACTGGGGCGCTGCCCCATTGATAGGAGAAACCTGGTTGGGGATACCCCCTAAGACGACGTAAATGTCGACGCAGGTTCACACCATCCAATTTGAAAAAATCACCACCACACCCCGCGATAAAAACATGTACTACACTTACTGGAAATGGGCGCGACCCTTAGTAATTGGCGCGCCCGGAAACGAGATATAATTAATCAATCAAACGAGTGGTGGAAGAGGACGTGGAGTGTGCGCGGGGTGGGGTAATGAGGGTAGACGACGGTCGGCTGCGCGGCGCTGCCCTCGCAAGAACCGGGCGCCACGAGGTGCAGCGGTCGCTCCTACGTACTACAAGAGAGCTGTCAGCCCGCGAAGGAGTGCGCAGGACAACGCTCATGTTCCGTGCGAGCGAGAGTGGCCCTACTGCTTGTCATAGGTTGAGTACCTTTCTTACCCGGGCCTGCGTGACGGTCAATGCCTACGTGTATTTCCCTTTCTTCCATCTTTATGCGATGTTTTGTATTCTGAATAACATTACGTATAACTTTGGCTTAATGACTACGTGAAATTCGATTGAAAGTTAAGGGAGAAATTCATGTTTATTGCTGATAAACAAGTAATTAGTCTCTAAGTGAAACGAGAAGGTAGGTTAAATCTAATAGGAAATGAACAGTCTCATTAAATGAAACAGTTTGGTGACCGTAACTCGAAATCTTTGTCATATGAACATACATTATGAGTTTTCATGTATACACCTTTCGTACAATGATAATTTATTTTCAATTATGTATTAATGTAGTGTAGTCGTGTTATTTTCTTTGATTATACTGCATAATGCATCATATTCGTAAGTTTCACTTTCATGGTGATTCATAAGCATACGTGAAAGTTCTTGATGCTTTTATTGAACCATTTGCTTCATGTAGGACATACATTCTAAGGGTTTCACGGTCATTCCTTCATTGGCATCTCCTAAAGCACTGTAGCTACTGTTGAACGTACGAATGTATGTAAACCGAAGTACCAAATTTTCAGATAATATCAAAGCATGCTGGTGCTGATGTTCCCCACCTTGATATGCAATATTTACATGTCCATTTTTAAACGGCTGTGTTAAAAATGTATTCATAGCGTTGCTTTTTCTTTTACAGTTTTGGTCAGTATTTTCAGTCAAATATTTTGAAACTTAGTTTTCTTAATGAAGTGTTTTTGACTACTCGATGATACAAGCTTTACTATTCTTTGACATATTCTTCCTAAACTCGTGTAAAATTGTGGTAAGAAAGTTAAATGCTTACTATTCACGTACTATGAAGAATATATTAATGGAAGATAAATACAAATGAAAACAATTAAAGAAAAAATATTGAATCGAAATTAAATCAAACTGAATTGTGGAATAAAACATTTAACTTAGAACACTCTATATTATTCATATTTATCTACTTGTACAAAAATGGGTATTGAAAAAAAGTCACTGAAAAATGGAGGAGACGAATTTTCTTGCATAGAAAAGAAATGACTCTTCAACAGACACTTGCATGTCATGAATTCTGCAACCTTAGCATGTGCCAGAACTAAAATCCACCATTAGTAAAACTACGAAAGCCACAAACTGGTGGTACGAAATCAACCATGGCCCTCACGTTACGCCGGTAACGCCTGGCCCCGCACCACCAACGTGCCGGCCACCGCGCCCATGGCTAGTGCGCTTGGTCAAACGGCGCGCGGGGCGCTGTCGCCCGCATTCCCCGCCCGAAAAAGCGTTAGAGCCCTCCGGTTCCCGAGGCGGAGGCAGAGGCCGAGGTCCCGGTTATGAATGTGTATGACGCCGCGTGGAGCCCCAGAATTCCCGCAGCGCCCCACGCCGCCGCCACCGCCGCCGAAAAAAAAACGCGTGGGGAGAGGGGTAAACAGCACGGTCAGCGGCGTACTCCCAAAAACTCAGGCGAAAAACGCATTTGAAGTCGCCATGTCGCCGCTCGACAGCATCCCAGCATCGCCTTCGCCGCCCCGACAGCCATCACCACCCTGAAAACATTAACGCCGTTTGATGCCCTTCTGTCTAGGGTGTTTCTCAGAACACTGTTACGTTATGCAATTGCTACTCGTCCCGGTTATAACTATGTTGTCTAATTTCCCTCATTTAGAGATGCCACAATTGTAATCAACTGTTGATCGATTCGTCATCGTTGCCTAGTGTTCTTTCTCGTCCCGTTACTACTATGGTGATTTCCACCGTCGCCGTAATTTTGATTACCTTTTCCTTCTTCGTTTCAACTGCCAAAGACCAGAGAATAAAATGCCCGTCGCTGCCTCCACCGCCGCCTCCCGTTTCGCCCCGCCAGAACCGCTGCCGCCGTTGCCGCCAGGAGCCGCAGCAGCCACCTTCGCGCAGTGATTTATCTGCGACTTCCGGCCGTTTTCTCTGAAAACACGAGCTCGGAAGCGCTGCCTCTTGTTTCTCAGTACTACTAAAAGCTTTTTCTCCCCCTCCGCTTCCCCGCGCCCGCCCCGCCGCCTTCCCCCCACCCTCCCCGCTCCGCTGTCCTCCTTATAACACACACGCAGTCGGTCATTCCATTGTTTTCTCCTTCCTTCCCTGCTGCCGCCGCACCGCGCCGCGCACGGCGGCCGCGCCGGGTGGCGCCTTTGGTCCCGCCGCGTGCGACCGCGCTCGGCTTTTGTTTGGCGGGTGTTTTTTTTCCCCCTCTGCCGCCCCCGCCCGCTATCCCTCCCCGCCCCGCCCCCGCCCGCCCGCCCCGCCCCTCGCGCCCGCCGGGCCGCCCCCGCGTGTTCTGGTCGTTTTGTGGCTTGTGCCCGTGTTCCCTGTAGTTTGTCCAGGCCGCCGCGCCGCGGCCGCCTTCGCTGCCGAAGGCGGACGGCGGCGTCCACAAGGCAGAGGAGCGGGGACAGCCGTGACGGCGCAAGCGGGGGTGGTGCCGCAGCGAAGAAGCAACGAGAGAGGGAGGGGTAGCACGATGCAACGCTAGCCGCAGCGGCCCGCGAAGTTGCGCGCATGTTCTCCACATGTCGCTGTCGCGTCGTGCGGTTCGATCCCCGGCCGCGTCCTTTTTGCCGCGGCGCAGGCGGCGTCAGCCGGCCGCCGCGCCGGAGCGAGAGGAAGAGCGGGGGGGGGGGAGGGGGGCAGGACAGGGTCGCGCGTTCCGGGAATCATATGGTTGCATTATTCCATCCCGCGCAGCCACGCGCACTCGTTCTTGCAGACCCGACCCGACGCGGTGCAGCGCGGCGCGGCGCTTCGGCGAAAGTCGACCGTTGAGATGATTAGCGCCGCCCATAGAGAGGAAGAAGGGGGAACTGAAACGGGGCCCCGCCCACGGCGTTCACGGAACGGGAGGGAAGTATTTATGTCTGCGGGAGCGGTATTGTTAATCCATTTGTAAATTGTTTTTCTTCGCCGCGATGTCTTTTGTTTTCAATCGATAATCTGTCGAATTAAGTCATTCTTCTTCTTCGTTGTCACATCCATAAATGGAAATCCGTTGAATTTTTCTTTGAGGTATTGAAAGTGTGTTATAATGATAAAGTGGGTTGGGGTAGCATTGACGCTCAGCTTGACGTTAATTCATTACCATAAGTTCCTCCTTTTACACGTTTCCAATTCTTCTCATTTGAAAATAAACTTTTTTTCCAAATCAGAAATTTTAAATTCCTTTATGAAAGAAACTTTGAAACTCACTTTCGTATGTTTTCGAACCCCGCCCGTAGTTTACTGCTTAACAATTTGATCAAAAAATCTGAACTAATTTGTTATTAGTTCAGTAAATTCTAATGTTTCTAGAAAATTGGCATGTTCTGAACGATTTAGAGTGATACTTATCTGAATTATATGAAAACAGAGCGAAATCGTGTATAAATGTGTCGAGCTTGCGTTAGAGTTGAAAGTTCGAGAAATTGCTATATCTTTGATGACTGAATGCAACATTAAGACCACCGCAAACGAAATTAAGAAAACAAATTAGCGCGGATATCTAAAGCCAAGTTCCTGTACAAGACGTCAGACGGGTCCTTCTTTGCTATTTGATGTTGAGACTGCTAGTGAGAGGACAATAATTAGCTCTTCATTAAATTGAACGTACGAAAAATGTATGAACATTAAAGTAGCATTTCGCAGCAATGGAAACTTATCCTTGTAAATGAGAATGAAATTGATATTAAGCACATGTACTGAGTATCTCAGCTCCATTTAAAAGTTAATTCATTTTCGAGATCAGTATGTTGAGGCAGTGTTGAACCAAATATCGATTGCCCAGAAATTGTGGTATTCCAAATTAATAAATAATAATGATGAATTTATAATAATGAATAATGATGAACGTTGACCCTATCTGCTAGCAAGTTTTGGAAGTGCATGTACTGGTCGAGCGAATTGACCAGTAAACCAAAAAAAAGAAAGAACGGCGATGTCGCACGACCGAATCCGGAATAAACTCTTGTTTTTCAAAGCGCGAATTTGTATATAACCTCGCGGAGAATACCACGGCTGTGACGGGCCTCCGAGGCCAATCGAAAGTGGAATTTGCGGGCGTTGCGCCGAGGCGCGGTCGGCCCAGCGGGGGGCCCTCGCGGTGCCGCGTAATGGCCGCGTGAGCGCGTGCATGAATTCTCGTCCCTCGCGCGCGGCGTGTTTCGGCGCAAGAAGCCCGTACGTGCGCCAGATAGGAAGGAAGTAGAATTTAAGGAAGAAAGTGCCAATGCACTGGAAGTCCCTATACAGAAATTCTCGTTATCCGCGGAAGAAAACTCAGACGACAAAATGTTTGGAGGAAAGGTGTAAGGCGTTATCGTTTTTAGACATTCTGGAAATTACTGTACACAGTCATATTTTAATATAGCATTTAAATTAATGTAAATGGTCGTAAAGTTACTTTAATACATTGTACAGTTCTATAAAGAGAAATGAGACATTAAAGATATTTACTATGTTTCGTTGTTAGAAATTCCGTTCTTAGAGTAGCTACTTCTCTACAAAATTTATTTGTGGCTCAACCTTAGGATTTATTGAAAAATACTAATGATAAAATCCATTATATGAATTTATGACTAATAAAACCAAAAGGAACTCTTTTAACTTTTACTAGACGATGAAATCAAAGTAAATTTTTGAATATTATTCATTTTTGTAAAAATTTAATTTAGCGTAAAAATTAAAATAATTTAGAAGTAATCATCGTTTATTCCAAAAATTAAATATGGAATTTGACTTCTTGTTCGTTTTATTTTCGGCCTTGATTGGAGCTCACAAGTTTCTCTCTCTCTTCAGACTCAAGACGTTAATTTTAAATTACGTCACTGAATCAGTCACTGAATGACACCTTGATACGAAGTCCTGAGATCCAAAGGACATTCTGTGTTTCAAATATTTCGTCTTTCCTTTAGTCCTGAACTTCCAATTAATGCCAGTCTGTTTTAATTTAGACAAATTACTGCATCGACTACTTTGGACCGCAAGCCTCATGCTTGGTCATCCGTATCGGACGATTTGACTTCTCACGAATCTTACATTTCTAGGTTTCAAAGTTGCACTGAACTGCTCTTTGTTACTATTTTTTAAAAGGCCTTGAACACTAAATTGTTCCCTAAACCCACGCACTGAGAGACTTTGTTTTAATATATATTTTACTTATAAAGAGTTTCAAATCAGAATTTCTCTAATGTTGGAGAGTAAAAATACAAATTATTCAGTGGAAAATCATTGTTTGAAAATTGCAATCTAATGAAAATTTTTATTTCAGCAAACCTTATTTAAGATCCACTATTTTTATATATGATTTTTGTGCAATACATTAAATTAGTGAAAGGATAATATAATTCCTGCAATAAACGGAAATATATTTGAACCCTATCAATATTATTTAGTAGTTTTTTCGTAGGGGCTCGCTATGGGTTACGTAGGGTGCTAAAAGTTCAATTTTTGCATCTAGTGCTAAAAGTGAGACATTACTCAAGTGTTCTAATAAATCTGTGAATACAACAAAGAAAACAAAATACTTCCGTCTGACCGCAACGGCTTCTTCCGATCTTAATGTATCATTAAGTGATTTGCATACTTGAATTAAAATAAAATGTAAGTCTGCCGGCAGCAGAAGTCTCAAAAGCTGAAAGGTCATAGCTGTCTCGTGCCGGAAGAGTGACCGGTTCGAATCCCGCCCGGGGCATGTATGTGTGTGTGCGCGCGTGCGAATATGCGAGTTCCGTTA